AAGCTTGGTTCTCCGCGGAGGAACGGCTGCAGGGTCAGAGTCTGGAGTCGGTGCCAGGTTTAGATAAATTCAAGCCTTGGTAGCAACTGCCAGCGAATCATGGGAATGGAATTATAGGGACGGCCTCATCTGAACTCCTGGGCGGTGGGGTGGAGGGCGAAGGGGGAGCTGGGTAGGTCTGCTTATCCCCGGGCTCTGAGTAGGAGGATTAACTTGGGCCCAGAACAAAGGGAGCAAAATTCTGGGCTGCATTGCCTGAAGTTTGTTTCCCTTGATAGGAATTAGATATTGAGCAGAAAGCTGCAACGCTTTGTGTGCATTTTCTCCTGAAGTTCTTGCCATCTTATCTCTGGGATAACAGCATTAGCTCGTAGAGCTGTGTTTTGTTTTGTTTTTAAAGTACCTATAAACGCATACGTTCTTGGATAGCAGAAACTTTCTTGATCTGGAACCTCTTTCATTGGTCGTAGGTAGAACGCTGTGCCATGAAAGCTTACACAGTCCTAAGAGTGTTTCTAGGAATGTATGGGACTTGTGTGTTTCGCCTTGCAAAACTCCACCCTCATGGGACTATCGGAGGAAAGCAGCTAGTTTGATACTCTGACAAAATGGAGGCTCCAGACTTTGAAAGCCGACTTGCTTTCACAACAAATCGCCGATCCCCTGACCTGTAAAGAAACAAGGCAACAGGAAAACTGCATTCTTAGTGCAGACCAATAGCATTCCCCAGATTGGTGGGCTTCAGCCTTACTGATGGGGTAATGGGAAATCTGGACAGTCACGTCTGAAGGATCTTGGGTTAGGGAAAGCTGACGGCACGAGCAGTCGCTGTTGCTGTTCAGCAGCCTTCTCTTTGTGTGGATGGGAAACTGCTGGGTCTGTTGCCAAGAGTTGTGAAAGAAAGGGAAGCTCTAACTGATCTCTGTCAGAGTTGGGTTCATTAATTGTAAAGCTGAGAAAACCTCTACTTTTGGTGGACTACCAAGAAGTCATTGGGAGGCACCTGCTCGGCATCAACTGACAGATATTTTTTCCCTTTCTCATGCAAGTTGAGCAATCGGGAACTTAGTTGCCTTGGAATTCCAGCTCAGTTTGTTCATTGTTGTTGCTGAGAGTAAAACTTTCCCTTGCTGAGTAGAAACAGCCTCTGTCGTTCGGTTTTGAAATCAGTTGGTGAAAGAACTTATCTTAAGTATTTAGTTGCTGCTTGTGCTGCCCTTCGGTTTCTAAAAGCCACAAAACCAGAAGGCGAGGCCATGAATACTTTTAGTCGGTTTTGGGTGATGATTCTATTAGCTTCCAAATCTAGGGGGGAAAATGCTTCTGCTGCAGTATATTTAGCTGAGCTACTGATTCATCTTAACCAAGTATCGTCATCTCTGACTGGCAGTGGCTCGTCATGGTCTTGATTACGGTGTTTCTCAAACCTGGCAACTTTTCAGACAGGTGGACTTCAACTCCCAGAATTCCCCAGCCAGCATTTTATTCCCAGTATAAAAACAAAAGCATGCTATGAAACATATTGATTTTTAAAAGAATTGACTGCTAGTGGAAGGCTTAAGTCTCTGAAGAAGCAGAGTTGATAGAGAAAAGCACTATACCGCTTTTGTCTCCTATGTTTCTGTGAAGGTTCACTGTATCTGTGAACAACAGGCTGTGGCCCTTTGAGCAGTGCTACAGTGCAATTCTAGCAGCCCCACCACACATGGATAATGGGGAAAGATGTTCAGAGCCTTAGAACTGCATCATCTATGACAGCGTTTCTCAAACTTGGCAATTTTTAAGACATGTGGCCTTCAACTTCCAGAATTCCTCACCCAGCATGCTGGGTGGGGAATTCTGGGAGTCGAAGTCCACATGTCTTAAAGTTACCAAGTTTGAGAAACACTGGTCTTGAACAGTGGCCTTTTCTAGTAGCTGAGCAGTTTAGGGGTCTAATGTGGGGCTGTATGTATTCATATCATGTGCTCTTGTCATTTCTGCTCCCCAAAGGAAATTGATGGTCACTGTAATCCTTGGGCAGTAGGATTCTGAGCTCTTGCAAGACAGGTTTTAACAATCTCAGAAGGGTCCTTGGAACTTCAGTTAATCTCATTGAGCCAAAGGCCTGTTTCAAGGGGTTTATTATCTACTAGGAGATGCCTAAAATACTTTCCATGCTAAGAAGTATTTAAACACAAGAGGGAGCTTGAATAAGCCAACTGACCTATTTGGAAACAAAAGAGAATAATATCATCCTTTGGGGAAAAAGCAGAATGAGTGCAGGAAAAAAATAATCTTTGAAAAGCATTTAAATAGAAGACATTCAACTGACAAATCTTTTATGCAGCACTTTGGGTTCAGTCTTCAGAATATGCAGGAGTATGAACATCCCACTTGTCTGCAACATCTTAAAACAGATGCATCTTTTTCCCAGAGTCACGCAGCTACTACTGTATGATGAACAGGCACAGTCGCTTTATGGCGTTGCAATCGGGTGCCGTATATATATACCCTGAGGCACCTTTGGAAATTGAATTTGAAACGTGATAGAAATTAGGTCACTTTTAATTTAACTGGATGGGTCACAGTTGCAAAACTGAATTCAAATCCTATCAGCTCTTGGAATACTATGGTTCTAGGTTTTTATACAGTATTCAAATGTTTTGAAGTGAGAATTAAAAGTAAATGGTTTTTTGGAGTCTCTCTTTTATTTATTAAATCTATATGCCATCAAATCTTTTCCTCATAATGGAAAATCTCTTGCAAGTGTGAGGTTAATGTACTCTTCCAGTTAAGCCTAGAAGAATTGAAACATGGAAAAGGGCTATGATTGTAATTATTCAAAATGATTAGTCTGATGAGGCCATTGATGTTTAGTGAATAGTGGGCAACCTGATGCTTTCCACATGTTTTGCTGACTAGTTTATATGATCAAAGATTTTTGGAATTACTGCCAAGAGTTTTGGAATTACTGCCTCCCAAGCAATTGGAAGGCATCAGATTGACTACTCTGATTTGTTCTACTAAATAATGGGTCTCTCGTATTTCATATACAGATTTCTTTCCTATAATTTGCAACACACACACACACACACTTTTATTAAGACTAGACTATATCTGTAACAGTGTTCTACCACGGATAACTCTTTTCCCGAACCTGGAAAATACCAGTCAACTCAGACCGTTGGTCTCTCCATCTCAGTATTATCTATCTGTGGCCTTTTAGCAAACGTTGAACTGTAACTCCCATGATTCTGGCCGTGCTAGTTAGGACATATGCCTATATCTGGTTTATACTGGGCTGACAACAGGATTACAGGATGTCATACTAGAGCATTTTCAGTTTTATTTGGAAAGGCTAGAGGATAAGCTCAGAGCCTCACATCTCAAAAACAGGCACTCTCCTGCTGAGCTATAGACCCTCCCTGCCATCTTATAACCATTCTGAAAACCTTGAGCATCTTATTGCAAGAAAGTTGCAGACGTAAAATACATATTTGCTTTGTGGTTTGACCTAGGCTACTGAATGTGCTCATGACGGTCATCGGATTTGAATAAGGGATTCTCGCGGCAAGAATTCAGACTTTGCCAACTATGCTAATAGCCCTTCTCTGTGGCCTTCTAGACTTTGCTATGAAATGAGAAAGTTGCTTTGTCCTACCTTCAGCATAATCCTATCCGTGGCCAAGAAAAGAAGTTTGTTCTCTCGGACCCTAGATACTAAGATAACATGATCGTATCCTTATATGGATCACATATCTATTGAATAGCAGCAGGGCCTTTTAAGAGAATCTTAACACAGATTGTTCCACTAGCTTTGCTAATGGCTGCTTATGATGTGAACACTAGTTGTCTTGACATGATTTCAATACTGAGGAGGTACTAGATATAGAATAGCAAGAGTAGTAAAGAGTGCTCAAAATCCCTTGGGAAACATTTAACTAAGTCTAAATTGGGGGTGGGGGTGAAGAGGAAAGGGGCGCTACACTCACATCCCCATTCCATTCAGAAATGGAGTTTCATCCACATGAATAGCAAAACATCGGATTTTAAAAACACCACTTGCAACTCTGGCTTTCCACAAAGTGTCTATTGCTTTACAAAGAGGGAAAGGAGGTCACAGCACATGATGTAGCTATCCCTGAAATCAGCTGCTTCTACCACAGCATTACATAAATCAGTATTGTGCAATTGGATTTGACTGCTACTGAATCAAAGTCCAAAGAACCAGTGGTTGATCTTACTTCGCCAATGAGGAAACTGAGGCACATCAGGTAACCTGCTGCTGAGCTAAAAAGCTGCCTCTGTGGGCTTTAGTTGCCAACCTTCTATGCCTACGTAGCGGAAAAGGACAACTTCTGAACAGAGTGAGAAACAATGACTTTGCAAGAGTAGTTTTTGCAGTTTAACAAAGGACTAGCTTACGTACCACACAACGAGATTGTCTGAAACCTGATGTCCAGCAAAAAGGCTGGATTTCACCTTCCAGTAGAATATTGCTATTCTGGACAATAGAACAGATGACACGGAACATTCACAAACCAAGTTATTCTACTCCGATCTACTTTACAATAAGGCTACAGCAGTAACATAGTTTGACAGCAAAAGTGCTAGGAGCTCTACTCTTTGACAGACTGGCTGTTGTCTTCTGGTTTCCGTGAGTGTCTGGAAGAGGAGCTGGCTTGCATCTTGGGAGTACCTCTCCAATGCAAGGAGAACAAATGAGGTATAGCGCGGTAGCTACGTAGACGGCAGGTAAGGCTGCTCTCCCCTCCCAGAGAACGGGCTTCCTCAGGGCTGTAGGGTGTGAGATCAATTGGAATCTGATACCTGCTTCTCTTTCTCCTCCACCTTAAAGCCTGAACAAGAGAGGGATATGCCCTTGGGATACTGGGCACAACACCGTCTCATCTCCTGGAAGACAGCTTCACACTTAGATTCCAAGTAGTTGTTTGCTGAAATTAAAGAAGAGAGCAAATGGTGAACAGGCTGCAGAATGGAAGGTGGGCAGGCCGAGCCCCCTTTAAAATAAGCATATAACCAGAAACCAAAGCACTCCACATAATCTCCATAAAAGTTGTAAGATCTCCAGAAGTTGTAATCAAATTGTGATTTTTCAACAGGGCAAGAAGAAAAAAAAATTAAGTACATGACTACAGTATAATATTAATATATTTTTAATTTTAATTCAATGCAAATGTAATGTCAATGAAATCAAATTGTCTTGTCCCTGCTATGTATTTGATCTATACCTGCTGCAGCTAAGACTCTTTCCATTTAAGAATGTGGCCCCTAGAATACTACTCCTGCTTTAAAAGGAGGACCCCTTGCTTTCGTTTGCACAAACAGAGCTCTTTGCTCTTCCTCTTCTGAGCTTAGAGAAACAAAATCTTTAATCTACAGAAATTAAGGAAACAAGACTTCAAATTTCCCCTAGTTTTTTTTTTCCAATCTTGGATGTCTTAGAAAAGCACCTGATCACTTTCAAGTACAATAAAACCAGGGCTTCCCGTGTAAGTCATGGCCGACTGAAGATGTCTCTGTGAACAAGCAGAGATAACGACTGTGGTGAAGAACACAAGACTGGCGATTAGATCGGTCCTTCGAATATCTCCAGAGAAGAAGAGATTGGGAGATCACCCACGAGTGCTCTGAATGGCAGCTCCTCGCGAGGAGACCATAAAAGGGCGGTCTCCCACAGGTTAGAGCACCAGAAGCCAAGGGAGACAACACCTTTGATCTCCGCAGCAGCAGAGCCTTTCATAAGGACACTAAGCCAGCGGAACTCACTTTCTAATCACATTTGGAGATGTTCAATTTAACTGCTTAAATTGATGGATATTAGAGACCTTCTAAAGGGCGAGCTTAATTTAACACCTGGTGAGTTTTACCTTCTTCAGATTTAAGAAATTTTAAACAGAGGCTTAAGAATTTAAAATAATATACAACTGGCAAAAAGCTAAAAAAAAATGGGGGGGGTTGATTTAAGAAAATTTTAAGCAGATTGGAAGACCAGAGAGATTTGGAATATTGGTTATTTTTGCTGTAAGGTTTGAAAAACAAACCTATAATTAAATAATAGACTCGTGGGAAATTACTGAAATGAAGTTGAACCCATATTAGGAACTGAGGCTTGATGAAGGTTGCAAATGGACACTAGAGGGAACTAAAGGACCAGGCAGAAAAGAGTTAAAATGGCTAAACTGGCTATACCCTTTCTTAAAGAGTTTTTTGAAACAAGGACTGAAATATTCATAACTAATATCTCAGAAAGGATGGATAAACTTTTAGAAGACGATGAGAAAAACTTTAAAAAACTTTTACCTGACGTAGACATTACAGAGTTTGAAGGCATGGAAGAAAACAAAACTCAGATTATCAAAATGGGAATGCAAAAGACAAATCAAGGAAGGGATCTGGACATGGAACAGCCGCGACAAGAAATCCTGGACGATGCCTAAAGGTCAAGATTGTGCAGAGCGAAAAGAAGGAATATAGTGCTCGACTATCTTACCAGGGATAAACTATTTGTCTGATACTTCTGGTAACTCCCAGTGGGCTTTTTTCTGAACTAGGATTGAAAAGATGATGATTTCTGGATTGCGTATAGATAAAAGTTAGGCTATGGGAGGAGTTTATTTGTAGCTTTAAAGGGGGGGTGAAAAGTTAGTATATTAGCTTATGCTCATTGTGATGAAGGTTGGAAACCACTTTTTCATGACTTTGCTGCCTTTTTTTCTTTTCTCTTCTGCTTTTTTTTTCCTCTTTTTTCTGTATCCTCTGAACTTTTGTTTTTTTCCTTCTAGTTTAGTTTATATTAGTTTTTACTATGTTTATTAAAAACTTCAATAAAATTATTAACAAAATTTCAAGTACAATAAAACCTGAGTGTAACTGGCCTCCTTTTAAAGGAAGGCAGCTGATGGGACCTGCAGCCTTGCTTTGCCCTCATTTAATGGATCGATATCCTTTTCACTGAGAATTTTTTCATCCAGTCGAGGGTTTACTTTAAAAGACTCCCATGTGCGTCAATTATACATATACAAATGCTGCAAACTGATGTAAATTCAGATGAAACATACACTCCGTCCCTACAAAATACTTGATTCGTTCAAATTTTAGCGATGATATACAATACTTGATGTTAGGATGGAGACTTTCATTACAGGCTATCATTTAAGTTGGCATTTACTAAAAATTAATGAAGAGCCAGGATAGCAGCAAAACAAAATATTTCAGGACATCGTGGCAATGTCCTTTGGCACAGTGAGACTTTTTTCTCTCCATTTTTTTTAATTAAACAGTTCAGTTTGTCTTACTGCAAGGAAGTAGTTTTAAGGTGTTTTAAGGTGTGTGTTTGTTGTTTTAATTACACTAAGATCTCTTGTTTCAGGCAAAGTACGAATAAGCCTCCTCTCAGACTTTTCCAGTGAGCTATTTCTTCATCTAATAACAAGCCCAATTCAAACAGAATGCTAAGAGGAAAATTCCCCTTGCAGCTGAATCAGGATGCAGCTCTACCAGTTGCCTTTTGGCAACTCAAAGCAAAGAAGAGGCGGTTGCTCACAGAGCATCAGAAACTCACCCAAATATAGATCAGATCAGAGGCCTGTAGCATTTTGTTCTCCTGAAGAGCTTCAGCATTATTAAAATACAGTAGGTCATCAAGGAAAGAGTGCAAGGTGGAAAGACACAGCAAAAACAACTTCCTCCACTAGTTTAGGATGAACACAGATAGCTAAACATGGAAGGAAATCTTATTTATCCCAGAAGCAATTACGTCCAGCCCTACCAGCTCAGCAAGCTCTAAGGGCTGCAAATGGATTGCTGGGAGCTCATGTACAGTCCATGGATAGCCCGTCTTGATCTAAATCATTTCTACTAAGTATGAGTTTTATCATTAGACTTCTCTGTCCTCCACCTTTTTTTTAAATTAGTATTATTATTAGTATTAGTATTTTGGTTATGTTTAACCTGTATTTTCTAAAAAAAAAATGCTTTGAAGAGCAGGGAAAAGGTATCTATTTACTTAACAGTAATTCAAATACTGTACAACAAAACCAAGAGAAGCCGCTTACCTTGCAAACATTTCTGGATTTCACAGGCATATTTCTTACAGGGATCTTTTGCAGCCATAACCAGAGAACTAAAACAAAAATCAGAAAGGAAAATATTATCCTGGTAAAACAGAGGGCCAAAGTTCCTAAGGCCCTATCCAAAAGAAGCTTCATCCTCCCCATTCCAGAATTTGGTAGGATAGGATCCAGCCAGTCAAGGATTTTCTTCATCCTGTTTAAGTCCATTTTCTTGGCCAATGAAAAGGGTGCCCTGTCAAACTCCCACTTTCCACCTGAGAGAACTGGCGCGGCCCAGATGAGTTCTGCCTTCCCCAGAGCTTGCCAAGCAAGAGATAACATTGGATGGAGAAAGTTCTAGAAGGATTACAATGTGCTAAGCCTGGTTTACTTAAACCCAGTTTGCCAAAAAGGTCTCTGATGGAGTCATGCCACAGAGCCATAAACCACCATTACAATAATTAACTTCATATCATAGACTAAGTCAGAACCAAACAAACTGCTATGGCTTAGCATGATGAGTAAACCCAACCAGAGAGAGCTGATCTCTCCTTGAGTGGGTCCTGGGATTTGCCGACTGATAAGCTACAGGCTCCATCCTAAATTTTGGAATGACACTTAGAAAGACACTTTGGTACCTCAGACAGCCTTCCCTTATTACAAACACCGTAAAACAAAGTTGTTGCATAACTAATGCACTTAAAGGATGAAAACTAATGCGCTTAAAGGACTGCATGTGTTAAAGAAACAATGTTCCCTGGGAACTCGAATAAGAATGATAGTTCCTTGTACATGAACAGTGAAACCTAAGGAAGGAAGGAAGGAAGGAAGGAAGGAAGGAAGGAAGGAAGGAAGGA